TCTCGAAGAACTGTTGCCTCGATCATGCCCTCCTTTCTCCTCGTCCATCGTCCCTCCTGCATCTGTCCTCCTCTCTCTTCCATCCTCCTCCTTCCTCTCCCATGCTCTTGAGGCCGTCTTGTAGCCGTTTTGGGCCCCGCCAGGACGGACTCCAAAAGAGCCCCACGAGGTCCCCCAGATGACCCCGAAGATGTTCAGTAGCCATGTCGGTTCAAAGTATATTGGTTCAAGCCGTTCTGGTTGAAGGCTTGTGAAAGGTTGCTCGCAGAAGGAAGCTTGGAACAAGTGTCTGTTGGGTGACAGCGCCCGGCAGCTGGTTATTTTCTGCTCCGAGAATGCTGGTGGTGGTCTTCATCGCCTCTATTCTCCTGTTTCTCGTAACGGTAGCGCTGGTGAGTTGGGTTGGCTGCATCATGTCAACATGGGTTAAGGAACTTCCTTGGCTCAATCTTGACGCGCGCTCGCTCTGCAATTCTGCTCTGGTCAGGTTGCGCCTGTCACTGGCAAAGTCTCCCCGAGATCCTTTCGAGTGGAAGGTGAGAGAGCTGGAAATATTAGGCCGCGTGAAGGTTGTCAAGCCGCTAGTACAACTTGCAGTGTGTGGCCAAGCTTTTTTTTTTATCTGGGATTTCCTTGCGGAGCAACGTTGGAGGTTGGTTGCCCAGAGCTGGTCTGGTATACCTTCCGAGGCAGAAGTGTCGCGGAACATGGCATTGTGGGCCGCAGGCATTTTCCAGCTCCTAGTCCCGGTCCTATATAATCGTGCTTTTGATTCTGGATTAATGTCTTCTGGCGATGGTATTCTTTTCTGTCTCCGCCTTATTGCAATCGCTGGGGTTGTGCGTCTGTGGTTTGAGTCACTTTGGATTGACGAGTCGGATTATCCGTCTTGGTTAGCCAGTAGGACGCCTTACCGGCTTGCAACGGGCGTTATGGTCGGTGAGATTAACACAGCCACATTCCTTAACGTATCGTTCTGGGCAGTTTGCTTGCGCCGCAGCTCTGCGCCATACCAAAATCGAACCGAGGTCGCCATGTAGTCAGCTGCCTACGGCAAGTCCCGCTACCGTGCCTGGGTTCTGGGTTGGGGCCTTTTGGGGCGTCTCGCGCCTCTTGGGGCCTCCTGGGGGCCCCTTAAGGTGGAAGGCTCGGATTTTCGGTTCGTGCTCCCTCTCTGGGGCCCCTTCTGGGACCGTCTGAGGGCCCTCTTGAGCTGTCTTGGGTGCCTCTTGGGCCGTCTTGGGGCGCTCTTAGACAGTGTTGGGGCCCTGTTGGTGGCCTCTTGGGCCATGTTGGGGTGGTCTTGGTGGCCTCTTGGGCTGTCTTGCAGCGTCGGAACGCCGAAAAGGTGAGAACGCCCAAATCCTTCAAACACTCACGGAAAATCAATGAGTTGTGCTCTTGGCCTCTTGGAAGATCTCTTGGAGGCCTCTCGGGGCGCCTTGTAAGCCTCTTGCGCCATCTTGGGGCCATCTTGGGCGTCTTCGAGCGATCGTTTGGCGACTCGGGGCTCTCTTGGACCGTCTTGAGGGCGTCCTGGGCCGTCATGGAAGCCTTGGAGATCCCCATGAAGGCGCCATGGCCGCCCAGGGATCTCCTGGTGGTACGTATGGCCGGTGCTCGCGGCGAGGTGCGACCCGGAGGGGGTGTGGTCATTCAGAAGATTACAGAAACCCTACCAGACAGCACTTGGCATTCTAGCACCCTTCCTCGTGCCAGGGGGCACGGTGACGGATCTGTGCACCATTACCATGATCAGAGTGGTGCGCCAGGCGAGGGAGGCGGACATCAGGTCCATGCTCGAGGCGAAAGCTCTGCGCAGAGTGGAGGTGGCCGCGGATGGTCTGCTCTCCAGGCTTTGCGACGCCGTGGTGCACCTCGGCGAGGACCTGCGGATCAAGCAGCCGTCGCCGCAGCTGGCGACGCTCCTCCTGCGGCCGACGGGCAAGGGGCTGGAGGGCACGCCCATCTCGGACTTGTCCGCCAGCCCTGCGGAGGCCGACCGGCTGATGAGTTTCATCCGCCGCGGCGCACCGGAGGGCGCAGGCACACTGCACACGTCCCTCAGAGACTCTTGCGCCAGCGTCGTGAAGGTCCAGCTCTACCACATACAGTGCTGCGACGCGGACGACCACATCTTCCACGTCGTCGGCGTGTGCGAGGACATGGAGTCGTTCAGAGTACCTCCGGAAGCCAGCGCGACTGCCGCGTTTCAGTTCGGATTGAACAGGTTCAGAGTCGCGCCGTCAGTGCAGGAATCCGCGAGCACCTTGCAAGGATCTTCGTTACCGAGCAGCGGAACCTCCGTCCAGCAAAGCGGGGAGGTCACCGTGTGCTTCAGGCCAATGGACGACGGTTACCCTATCGAGTGGTGTTCGGAAGGCTTCGCTCGCCTCTGCGGGCTGGTCAGTTCTGGGACAAAACTGCTGACCTGCATCCACGGCAAGCCGGACGCTTTCATCGAGGAGGTGCAGAAGGCAGTGATGGCCTGGCACGTGAGCCGTGATTTCAGCCCGTGCCGCTTCTCGACGTTGAGGCTGACGCCAGCCCACGCGACCGAGGCTGGGGTAGAGCTGCGCGCAAACGTCGTGTTGTCGATGGGGCACAATGTCGGCACCGACGACGTCGACTCGTGGACCGTCTTGGCCTCGCTGAGCAACGTCAAGCAGGCGAGGCGTCGCCAGGAGCCACGGAGTGCGCCCGCGAGCGTGCACCGCACGGCGCAGACGCCGCTCGACAGGATGCGCTTGCAAATGGAGGGTGACGCACGCCGACGACCGGCGGCCGCGGCAGCGCCCCCGGAGGACTGAGCGGCCTGCAGTACTTCCGACAGCGTGCTCGCCGTCTGCGCGACGGGGCGGAGCTCGGGGCGCAGCCTGCAGGGGAGGGCGTCCGGGAGGGGCCGGTCGATGCGCAGGGGCAGGGGCGGACGAGGAGGGCTCGACTCGCTGTGCTGCCTGTCGTCCTTGAGCTCGCCAGCTCGATGCTCTTGGAGCGCCCGCGTGGAGCGCGTGCGCCGAGGAGCAGGGATCCCTGCCGCGTAGCTCGTCAACGGCAGCCGCCCGTCGACTTGCCACGAGCGCTTGACGGCCCTGCGCGGACTGGCGCCGGCCGTCCCCAGCGATGTCTGTGCCTCACTGCGAGGGGGCCCCGTGTGGCAGCCGGCAGGGCACCTGCCGCTTTGGGCGCCGGGCCCCGCGCCCCTCGGGTGCCGGCGTGGCGAGGCAGCAGCCCTTCGCGCAGTGCCCGTGCCTGCCGGAGCCGGGCTGCAGGCACTCGCGTCTTCCCCTCCCCGCACGGGGGATTTCAGGAGGGCAAAAAACACACACAGACACAATTCATCGTCGATTCTCCAGAAAATATGGGGAAATATGGGAAGGGGGGGGGAAAGACAAAAACTCAGAAAATATAGGAAAATATTGGGGGATCGTTTTATTTGTGTGTGTGTGTGTGTCTATTTGTGTGTCCTGGGGCCCCTTCATGATTGCCTGCTTCTGGTGGGGTGGGGGACGGCGTGTTGAGATGGGATGTGTCGCAGCACGATATTGCGTACATATTTGGCAGGTCGGTCTCTCGAATTTGGTTTTTGCTGGGAGGGAAAGGCGGGCATGGACAGAGCAGTTCTGGTTAGACCAGCCTGGGAGTGTGCCCCAAGACGGCCCAAGAGGGCTTCACGATGTCCTGAGAGGCCTTCAAGACGGCCCAAGATGCTTGCAAGAAGGGCCCCAGAGCCCAAGTCGGGGAAGACTCACGGTCCCCGGCGGTCCTCCTCCCCAAGATCACCCCCAACCCCCCCCCCAAGAGTCCCCCATACGGTACTCTCAAGAGGGTCCCCCAGAAGCTCCTTAAAAGGGCCCCCAGAGCCCCCCTCCACCCCCTGAGACCCCCAAGAGTGTCCCAAGAACTGCCGCATGAGATTTCAAAGAGACCTCCAAGAGGCTTCATCCACACGGCCCCAAGATGGGCCCAGGACGTACCCAAAACGGCACAGGGGTGCCCAAGAAGGCCCAAGCACGTCCCCAGACAGCTCCCTCCGGCCGCAACATTGCCCCAAGCCCCGAACTGCCTCCCATACGCCCCCCCCGGCGTGCGCCCACGAGGCTCCAAGACGGCTCCGAGCTGGCTGGAGGCGGCATGGAAATTGTTGACGCTTCGCGAATCCGCGCGGCGCTTTTCGGTGAGTACTTTGCGCGGTTGAGCGCGCAGTTTTGGCGGCGCCGACCGTGTGGGCAGGGTGTCCCGCTGCAGGGGTCGTTCGGCCGTCCGCGCCAGGGCGCCCAACGCCGCAAAAGGAAATGCGCTGGAACGCAAACTCTGCCATTTTTTGGTCACCCCTGAGCCGCCCCCCCCAGCCCATCCAGACACGATGCCCAGAGGAATTGCCTCGATCAGGGAAGAGGGCAGCACACAGAGGAAGGGTCCCCCAGTGGAGGCTTCTTGGAGCGTCTTGGGGGCCTCCTGGCGGTCCCGGGCGCCTCTTAGAGCGTCTTGGGTGCCTCGGAGAGCTTCTTGGGGCCTCTTGGGGGTCTCTTGGGAGCCTCTTGGAGGCCTCTTGGGCGCCTGTTGGGGCCTCCTGGGGCCTCCTGGACGCCTCTTGGGGCCCTCTCGAAGCGCTCTTGGGAGCCTGGGGAGCGCTTTTGGAGCCCTCTTGGGCCATCTTGGAGCCATCTTGAGGCCTCGGCGAGAAAGCGAAAGACATGGATTTTCCAGAGGGTTTTGGAAAGATTTTGGCCTCTTCGGGGCCTCCTGGGGGAGCTCTTTGGCCACTTGGAGCCGTCTTGGAGCGGTCTTGGGGCCTCTTGGAGCATCGTGGGCGCCATCTTGAGGCATCTTGGGATATCTTGAGTCATCTTGGAATTCATCTTTGGCTCTCCCAGGCGCTCTTGGAGTCATCTGAAGCAGTGCCCCCCCCCAGGAGGCCAAAATGGCGAAGACGCCGAGTGCGAACAACCAATGCAACGCCCGTACCCTCAAGCCTCGATCCCGAGATGCGGCCCGAGGTCGGACTACGCCGGCTCCATGACGCGGAACCTGGCGGCGCCCGCCAGGGGGGTGGGCAAGGGGGGCGGCCATCCAAGAAAGCGGATGGGGCTTCTTAGAAGAGGCTTCTGAGAAGGCTTCTGAGAAGCCGGGCGGGCTTCTGTCCTCCTGTCTTCCCGAGAAGCCCCGCCACCTTCTTCTCAGGAGGGCCTGCCCCCCAGACATCGGATATGCTCTGCTTTTCCTCACGCGCGGTCCCCGGACGCCCCGACCCTTCCCCCAGGGCCGATGCTTCCTCCCGAGGCGTCCTGTGGAGGCCCGGGGGCCCGGCGAGGGCTCCCCGCGGGCCCGAGAACGACGAATCGAGAGCCTTCCGTTGTGCCTTTGCCGCGACGCGAGCCTGCCTCCCGCAGGGATTTTTGCCGCGACGCGAGCATGCCTTCGGTCGCGATGCCGTCACGCCACGAGAGCCTGCCTCCCGCCGTGCCTCTGCCGCGGCGCGAGCCTGCCTGAGCTCCGCGCCCCCCTCCCCGCCGTGGGCGCCGCCCGAGGAACCACGACCCGGAGCGCCGGGACGCGGGCCACGTGCTGGAGCCTCTCTGGGCGCTCCTCTCCGGCCTGGCTGGCGCCGCGCTCCGCGCCCCCCCTCCCCCGGCTGGCCTCGAGGTGGCCTGTGGGCCGGCGTCGCCCCAGCATATTGAGGAGGAAGCGAGGAGGAGGAAGCGAGGAGGAGGAGGAGGAGGAGGAGGAGGAGGAGGAGGAGGAGGAGGAGGAGGAGGAGGAGGAGGAGGAGGAGGAGGATTCTACGGATTCTACGGGCCAAAACGGATCACGACGCCCTGCGGTTTCGTGCCGTGGGCCGCCTGGCCGCGGCGGGCCGTCCCCGCGCCAACCAGACAGCCTGGGGGAAGCAGATTTTTCCTTTTCCTTCGCCTTCTCACACAAGCCCCCATTCCAGCGTTGTAGCTAAAATGAACTTGCTCGAGATTAATTGTTTCTCCAGCCTCGCCGCCCGCTTCTCGCGAGTCGCTGGCCCAGAGCTCGCACGCCGTGGCAGCACGCTGTCACTGTGTGCTTCTCGCACGCACGCTTGGGCAGCCCCGCTGCCACTGCCTGCTTGCTTCCCCCTTTTCGCACGAATGGATTTCCTCCACTCCTGCTCTCGCACAACGGGCTGATCTCTGCACTGTAACTGAGGGTAGCTCGTCCGTGCCCTGCCATTTCGCGCCAGAGCCCGTTCGTTGGCCCCTGCACTTCTCGCACGCGCTGCTTCTAGCAAGTGTAGCTAGATAGAGTCGGGCTCCAACTTTGCCTCCCGCTTCTCCCAGCGCACGGTGGTGGCTAGGAAGGTGACGTTTGGCTCCAGCATTGCTTCCCTCTTCTCGCAGCGGCTTGCCCAGATCCCAACGCTGTAGCAGACGACGTCGGGCTCTGCCTTCGCCTCCCACTTCTCGCAGGATGGCGCTCTTCTCGCACACACTGTTCCCAGAGGTGTTAGCTCTGCCTTTGTCTCCCACTTCGCGCAGGGTGGCGCTCTTCTCGCACACACTGTTCCCAGAGGTGTTAGCTATATGACGTGTGGCTCCAGCTTTGCCTCCCTCTTCTCGTAGCGGGTTGCCCCGATCCCAACGCTGTAGCTGTCGACATCGGGCTCTGCCTTCGCCTCCCACTTCTCGCAGGATGGCCGCGGCAGAACATTGCTCGCTTTTCTCGCACGTACTGTTCCCAGAGGCGTTAGCTAGAAGAGACACTCGGGCTCCAGCTTCGCCTCCCTCTTTTCGCCGCGGCTTGCCCCGATCCCAACGCTGTAGCTGTCGACATCGGGCTCTGCCTTCGCCTCCCACTTCTCGCAGGATGGCCGCGGCAGAACATTGCTCGCTTTTCTCACCCGCGCTGTTCCCAGAGGCGTTAGCTAGAAGAGGCAGTCGGGCTCCAGCTTCACCTCCCGCTTCTCGCAGGCCCTCCTTCTCCCACGGACGACTCCCAGCGTTGCAGCTGGTCGTGGCCCACCCGCGCACTTTGCACGGCGCCAGCGTCCGCTGCCACTGCGCGCTCCCTTTCTCGCACGGATTGCTCCCAGCGTTGTAGCTGATCGTGGCCCGCCCGCGCCTTCGTCCCTGTCGCAGCGCCAGCTCTGGCTGCCACTGCTTGCTTTTTCGCAGCGTCAGCTCTGCCTGCCACTGCTGGTCTTCTCTCACGGCCTGATCCCTGCGCTGTAGCTGATCACGACTCTGTTGTCCCCGCACTCTGCCCGCGGCGCCGCATCGGTTGGCGCCCCAGTCTGCCAGGAGGTGGAGGAGGGTGGAGACGGAGAGGAGGAGGAGGGGGCGGGAGGGGGCGGGCATCCTGGCAGCTGCGCGTTCGCCTGATCTCAGCGTTGTAGCTGATGACGTGGGGCTCCGCGCTGCTTCTTCATGACTCGGGCACGCAGCGCTACTTCGAAGTTTGCGCGCCGCATCGTCCAGGGGGCCCGGTGCAGGGTGGGGGGGCCGTTCGGACGCGAAATGGCGAGGAGGATTTTTTTGAGCTCCACGCTCTCCTCTGAGTCCTTAAGGATCTGACGCCAGCTGCAACGAGGCGGTGCAGCAGGCCTTGTTTAAAAAATAGGCATACGTGTTGAAGCGCTGCATTAAATTGCCGACATCAGCCGTTACACCCGCTTTCTGCTGCCTATAATGCGGGTGTTTGCCTTTGCACGGGGCTTCCCAGCCGTACTTCGCTGCGCGCGACGGAGGCGGCTGGCACTTGGCGGCTAACCCGCGGACAGAGGCTCCACTGGAATGCGCCTTGCACCTAGTGCAAATAAATAAAACCGAGCCATCGGAGCAATCGAACGCTATCGTACGGTGCTCGAGGGTGTCCTGACTGGACGCGTGAAGCCGAGAAACCTGAGAGCAGACACCTGGTGGGGGCCTACTCTGAGATCGCTTGCCTCTGAGGCAAACTGCACAGCGCCACACTCCAGACCACATTTCCCAGCGATGACCAGCGGATGCTGCAGCAGCGGCTGGCGGGGCTGGAATTCGGCCTGCCTCGGAGAGGTCCAAGGTAGGCCACGCATGCATTACATGGGCCGCCAGCCTAATTGTCTGGCGCGCCTGCGTGACAAGCTTAGCTGCAGCCGCTAGCTTGACAGGACACGAAGGATGCAGATGCACGGCATGCTTGGCTGCCACGTCAGCGTGATGGTTGCCGAGGCGCCTCCAGCGCTCGGCAGCGTCGATACCCGCCTCATCCAGCTCCTTGTGAGCTGCGACTTTTGTGCACGTGGAAGGCGTGATACCTTGGGCATAGAGTTGGAGGAAAGCCCCTGAGTAGGCCCTCTTCCCACACAGCTGCTCGGCCTTGGGCCGACAGGCCAATTTGACCACATTGCTGCAATCAGAGAACACATCGATGCAGGCCGACGCGAGCACATTGGCCCAAGTCCAGCAGCTGAACTCGGCCGATTGAGGCGTCTGAGGATATGGGGCCCACACGGGTGCCCGAAACTCGGCGACGGCCGACCCTTGGGCGTCGACCATCACCACACTGCTGCCAGCCCGAGAGAGCTCCCGAACAGTGTGACGGCTGCTAGAGCCATCGATGAAAACGTTACCCCACACTTCAATGCCAGGAGTAGCCCCAGAGGGCGACGAGATATCTTGGTGGTGCCACGCAAGAAACGGGCCATTTTCCGTCTCAGTGAGGGGCCTAGGGAACCCGTCGGCGGGGTGGCGGAACGCCCCAGATATAAACACGAACACAGCTTCCTCGTCGTCCTTAGCTGTTAAGGCTTCGGCTACAGTGCTAGCGTCCACTAGAGAAGATCTAAGCTCAGCCACTGGCTCGTGGGGGCACTCCCACAACCGGTGGAAGATCGTGTCCGAGGCGCCGCAGAACGGGCAACTGCCGTCCACGACGTAGCCTAAGCTCACAGCACGATCTCCAGTGAGAAAGGCTTCGGTGGCGAACGCTCTAATGTGGGCCTTCTGGAGGGCCGTGTATTTCTTGGAGGCTAGGGCCTCGCGTAGCACATCACAGCATATCCTAGGGAGCACTCCCCTCTTTTCGGCGGAGAGGCGCTCCAACATCCTAAAATAACCGTCCTTGAGCATGATCCTGAACAAGGCAGGCGAGATAATGCCGAGGGGAATAGTGAAGCCACGGTCATCTCGCACCGTCATGAAGTTGTCCATGCACCAGCCCAGCCTAACCAGGGACATCCGAAGGGCCGACACGGGGCCCGCGACCGCTCTCCAGGAGCAGGCAGGGTTGGAGAACACAGCTTCCCACGCACGACGCAGCGAGGGAAAACCCAAACCCCGAGAGTAGGCCCCAGTCTGGGCCAGCCAGATCTCCTTGGACCAACGGAGGATGGGGGCGGTGGCAGTGCGCCAGCACGGATCATAATCGAGCAGAGCCGCCGTCGTCAGAGATCTCAACTGAGATCGAGGTCGGACCACCGAGAAAACTTGACGACGGAGGCGAAGCAACTCAAGGTCGCTAGCGCCAGTAATTTCAGTGCCATACGAAGCCCCCGAGAGGGGCCCCGAGGAAAACACCCTGAGGACCTGCGGCCGAGAGATGACTTTATTCTGACGCTTTAACCTCTTGGCCGCCCTCGCAGCCTTGGCGATGCGCATTTTTGACTTCACCGAGCGCCCCGCCACCCTAAGCGCGCGGCCAGCCGTGTAGTCAGCGCCTAAGTTGACAGCACTCGACGTAAAATTACCTCCTAAATGCGAAATCTCAAAAGAAACCTCATCCCCTAAGGCCTTCGAGGAAGCAACAACAGCGGTCTTGTCCAGGGCGAGGGAGCAACCGAAACAAGACTCAACGATGGCGTGGAGCGCCTTGGCCCCTTCGATGATCGATTTGACCACGGTCCGATGTTGGCCCGTGCGCGAGAGACCCTGGTCGTCAATATACACATCGAGGTCGAACCTGGGGATGGAGGGAAGGGAATCGTATCCGTCCTGGCAGAAGACACGAATGAACGTGGTGGCCATCGAACACCCAGCGATAACCCCATTCAGGCAGAAGTAGGGGCCTTCCAGCCACCCTCCTAGACAGAGAAAGCGCCCACACCTGTAGGCATAAATGCAAAGACGGGCTATCGCAAGAGGGAACCCATGTTTCTTGCAACGGGCCTCGAGCTCTTTCAGACTGATGTTCTCATAGAACTTGCGAAGACCGAAGAGAACAGAACATGGGGACTCCCCGATGGCAAGACCCGTCTCGGCGGTGACAGCTTGACGCCAAACCACATCGGCAGCTCCACGAAACCTACCAGCAGCCCAGTACCGTTTGGGGTGTTCTTGCTCCCAGTTCAAGGCAAAGGGCCGCCGACAGCGGCCCCAAACCCTGAACCAGGAGCAGAACACCCCAATCGGCCTGTAGCCACCAGTAGGCTTCGGCAGAAGAGCCAAAGTGACGACTGAGATCTGCGGAGGAAGACAGCCTAGCGCTTCCATGACCGAAAAAATGGCACTGAGGCAGTCAAGAGCAGCATCTGGGAACAGAGAGAAATGCTTGCAGTGAAATCCGTCCACAGCCACGGCCGAAGAATCTTTGTAGGACTTAGAGATATCACGGGTTTCGCTGGCCGTGGGTCGCGGAAGAGGCTCGATGACCTGACCATCAAACTCGGCACCTCGACCCTCACCCCATATACTGCTGAACCTCTCTCCCTCAGCCTTGAGCAGAGAGAGAGAGGATCACTGACGACGCACCCAGCAGCAGAGAGAGTCGAAGAGGGGACCCACGGAACAGGATCTTTAATGAATTGATGAACCCTTTTCGCTCCCTTATTGATGCCTACATGTAGCCAAGCAGCCCAGTCTGATCGGCTCTTGGCGGCGTACTTGGTGCTGGCGGCCTTGACGGCCTCGTGAAACTGAGTGTACATATCAGCGAGCGACTCAACATCCCCACCAGAACCAAGGGCGGAGACCTCCTGAGCCGTTCGCTTGAACAGCGGCTCGTAGTCTTCCACGGCGGCCGAGATGCTGGGCGGGGGCTCCACCAACACGCAACTGAGCCTGGCAGCAGTGGCGGCAGCGCCTCCGCGCCGAGCGTGCACGAAGGCGCGAAGCTGTTGCCCAAGCCAACGGATCGCGCGATGACCAGGATAACGCACCTTACCATCCTGGCCCAAGATAGGTTTCCACACAAGTTGAGGACCCAAGCCCCTGGAGCCTAACTTGGGGGGGGGCAACGCCCACCAGGGGAATAAGGTCACGTTCAGCATGGTCGGCCCACTTCCTGTAGAGAGGGCCCAGAAGACGTTTGGCCCCCTGCCCGTCCCCATTCTGGAGACAACGTTCAGCCTCGGACGCCGGCGCAAGTTCCCCAGCCCAACAACTTTCTCTGGGGGCAGGGCCGAAGACAGCCTGACACGGCAGGGGGGGGGGCTTCCTGAACGAGAGAGCGTGAAGCACCGCCAGCTTGGGGTGGAACACCAACTGGACGGGCCTATGGGGGGAGAGCTCCGTATCCAATCGCGTATCGACCGACTTGAGACCTTTCGCAAGACCGCCCGAACAAACGAAGTAGTCGAACGTCGTGGGAGGGCCCGCAGGATAGTGCGTAGCGGCAACGGGGAAGATGAGGGAAGCCCTCAACTCCGACACAAAACTGGGCGACTCGAGCTCGGCAGGCTCCAGATTAAAGTCGGCACCGAGCACCCACGGCTGGCCTACAGCAGAAAGTTGCTCGCCGAGCCTCGCGAGCAGCGACAGATTATCATCGCTGAGGCCTTCTGAGTGGTGAAGGTAGGCGGAAGCAACCAGGATGGGGGGAGTCCCAGGGAGGTGCGCAGAACACGCGATGCATCGCCCAGGCGTCGTGATGGCATCCTCGACCTCCAGAAGCCCCATCCAGGAACGCACGAAAATGGCAACACCCCCACTCGTGTCCTGCGCTTGGGTGGGGATAGCAGGGGCCCAGACCGACTTCCATCCATGCCTTATGCACCAAGCACTGGCCTGCTCGATGTCCTCTTTGGAAATCAGACGGTACTCCTGACCGAGCACAATGTGGGCAGAGCAATCTTCGAGCAAACCCTTCAACGTACCCCGCGAGTTGGCGTTAATGGTCTGAATCGTGAGTGGCACCAAACTGTCAGAGTTAGAGGCCGATTGCTGCTCGCTGCCGGCAAGAGGAGCAGGCACAGGCAGGCTGACATTGCTGACAGAGTGAGCTGGCGACTTGAAACAGTCAGAGGGGTGCTGAGCCCTCTGAGAATCCAAGGGTTCGAATTTGCCCTTGGAACATCCTGGCGTTAAATGTCCGAGCGCGACGAGCTCAACGTGGGGGCGAGATCCCCCCTCCACGGGGGGGCAAACAGAAGTGGCCACGTGCGGGACAGCCCCGTCCGTGGCATCCTTGCGCGCTGGCTTACCAAGGGAGAGCACAGGATACAGTGCCCTTGGCATCGCAAAGTCCAGCAAAGACACAGGGGCAGAGACAGGGGTCCGGTCTGCCTTGCGACGAAGCGCTCCCCTCTTGCGGATGAGGGCAGCTTGCGCTACGGAGCGGAACTCCGTGTGCAGAAGTATATTACGTGTTTCACCCCCCCCCTGGAGGCAGCCTTCCGAGCGAAGGACCTGCGGACCCCAATCGACCGACGACTCGAGGAGGCGACGAGCATCAGGGCTGGCCTCCAGAGGGTAGCTAATCGTTGACTGCGTGAGTGGCCGCGGCAATGCGGTCAGCGCGCTCACGAGCAGTGCCTGTCGCAGAAGGCGTGGTCGGAGCAGCTGCCGCAGCACCCGCTGCGCCTGAAGAGGCGGCACCGCCTCCGCCTGGTACAGCTCCAGGAAGAAGTGGAACGCCCTTGCCCGCGAACTGGCCGACCGTGGCTGCCTGCGGAGTGCCGGGAGCAGGTGCCGCGCCTGGCGCCGCCTCGGCAGCAGGCGGCGGGGCTGCGCCATCATCTCCTTCGGCGGGGGGTGCACCAGCATCAGGAGGTTCCTCGAAGGGTGCTTCCTGCTCCACTCGAGGCCGCTTGGCCGCAAGCCTCTTGATGTGCTGCGCGTGGGCGGACTTGGGGCCATCGACCTTCTGCTT